TTAATATTAGCACTGATATCTGTGGTTACTTATCATCTTATCATTTGTCCAGACATGGAGTGAGAAACTAGAAAAGTATGGGTACGATCTGGCACTTCCCGATGAAGAATGTGTTGCAACGGAAGATGTCCTCGGTTTCAATATCTTTGGTTACATCGCGTTTGGAGAAGAAAATATTGAAAGTAATGCTATGTCAAGTTCTATGATAAAATCATGATAAAATCATATCATTAGTGTGCGCGAATGTTTGATAAGTGAAATAATGAGAATCAAATAATATGACAATGGTAACGAAGAGTGGAAAATGCATCACCATAAATGAAATGTCGCTTTCAGACGTTGTCAGTGATGCTATTTTTGCTGGCCTTAATAATTGGACGTCAGAGCTTAAGTATCGATACGAGAATGAACCAAAGAATAAGTACACTTCTTATGTTATCCAACAAAATGCTTCTAATTTCATACAGGTGAGAAAATTTCATTAAAATGAGGATAGCTGCGTTATATATTTTTCATTTTTTTCCAAAGTGTTTGTTAAAAAAATCATTAATTTCTGGATGCATGAATAATACCGAAATTACGGTAATTTTATACAAAACAAACTGACAAAATTTCAAATGCATTCACTAATATTTTTGCTTCTCGCAGTAAGAAAGTTCAACGAATAATTTTTCTTTTTCTGCAACCTGTCTCTTTATACCTAAGGTAATATGCAGCTATTATCAATTATTCAAATTAATTTCTGTAAGGTCGAAACATTGCAGTGATTACAGTAGCCTTACAATAGCCATTACAATAGAATGTTTTTCATGAACGTAAGCGTTAAATGGGTTTTTTTCTTCTAATCAAAGAGAACATGAAAAATCATTTTCCTATTTATTAAGCTGTAGAATTGCCTCAGAAATTTGAAAAAAAATTTATTTCGGAGAAAAAATTAAAAAAAAATTGTTCCCAAGCCAATCAGATATTAATCTGTTAGGCATGAAACAATTCTAGAAATTTAATATTTGCATGAAAGATGAAACCGAATAAATAGATTGCTTTCTCATGTAATTTGCATGAAATAGTTACTTCACTCTGAAATGAATCTTCAATTAATTTTATTTGAAAGCGTTTATTTTTAGATGGCGTGGGGTAAAACGCATAAAATTGGCTGCGGCGCTATGGTAGATGTACTACGGCCTTTTATTTCAGTCATATTCTTTTGCAGCTATCAGCCACGGTAAGCCTAAATATTATCGTTAAAGCAAAATGTTCCAAAACATTTTGATAATTATCGTTTAGCCATCTTTTT